CGCACGCAACACGACAATAGAAACATCTCACAACCTTTAGGATTTATTTAGTTGTTTTAAATATGTATGCTTAGTCCTATTTGATAGAATTATTAAAAAAAACAAAATAAAATTCAGTCAATAGTTCATATTCAGCCTCCTTCGAAGCAGAGACGCCTTTTTGTTCTGAAAAGACAAACAGAAGGTATTTCTGACTGACGGTTACTGAAAGAGGAAAGAAAAAGTGAAGTGGTCATTTGTGTTCAAGCTCAAGCCGTCCTGCAGCTGTGCAGCACCGAGTTCTCCTGAGATGAACGCCACAACCAAGTCCTGGTATCACTTCTCCTCCTGCTTCAGAGTTCTCCCTAAATGAAGCATCTTTTCATCATCAAACCACAAACTGATCTTTAGTGGCCTGTTTTATATTAAATGAACACAGTAAAACTGTTGTAAAGGAGCATTTCACCCACTTTAACAAAGCTGTAGATAAATAATCAGAGCAGCAGATATTTCATAAACATAAAACATCAAATGACATTAAATTTAAAACCTAAACAATCAATGTGAGATTTCTAAAAGCCTGTTTTATTGAAGGCTGATTTATCTTCTGTACACTTTGTAGCATCTAATCGCTTAAGTCATTGTGACTTTAGGCATTTGTAGCTTTTAGCTACTGTTGTGCTAATTTTAGCTTTTTACTACTGTTTTGCTTGCTTCAGCTTCTGACTGGTTTGGCTCATTTTAGCTTTCAGCTATGGTTTGGCTTATTTTCAGCTGTTTATTTTGAGCTCCAACAATATTCAGCAGACATGCTGCTTTTCTCAGAGAATGCAGCTTTTCCTTCTAGTTTTGTTAGACATCATCTGTTTTGGTCCATTTGGAGCTTCTGCTGCACAAAAAGCTGTCCTCACTTAGGGAGGTGTGGAACAAACAGCAGAAACAGCTCAGTGTGTTAAGAGTTAATAAACAACATCCTTGTAGCTCAGTCTGAGTTATTTACTCCATCTGCTCCTAGTTCAGTCCATCTATCAAAGTAAAGTGAAGTAGTTCATTTACAGCAAAAAATAAAAACAGTATGAGGCCAGTTTTTTCAAATATTCATCAATTACTTCAGATATATGTGTATATATATCTTCCATTCCATTTTATTTCTAAATGTAAATCCTATTTTCACTATTATTATATTTTATTTCAATGCCCACAATCTGACTTTCTGTCTTCCAAAATGTCATGAGTACTTTTTCCTTGTTGTACATTCCAGAGTGTTGGTTAGCTTTGAGTTTTTAGATTAGTCCAAACTGCACATTCATAGAAACTGAATCTTTTATAACATTTCAGAATCAAGAAACTGGTCTTCCTTGAAGGACTGCGTATTACCCACGGTCTTTAATTCAATTCAGTTCAGTTTGTTTATATAGAGCCAAGTCACAACAGAAGTTATCTCATGGCACTGTACAAATAATGCCATCTAGACTTTGTGAAAGACTGCAAAGTTTATTATTCCTAAGATGCTCAGGTTCAAAAACCACAACCTCAGTCTTGTCTGAGTTTAAAAGCAGAGAATTAAGGGTCATCGAGGATTTTAAATCTTTAAGACATGCTTGTAGTCTAAGTAGCTGATTGGATTCATTGGGTTTCACGGACAAATATAACTATGTATCATCAGCATAACAATGAAAATGTATCCCATGCCGTTTAATAACTTATAATAACTACCTAATGGAAGCATATATAAAATAAAGAGTATTTGTACAAGCACTGAACCCTGAGGAACTCCATGACTAACTTTAATGCAAGTTTTAAATAAAAATATTCAGAGATCTGCTGGGATCTGTCTGAGCTACTATCACACCAAACTTTAGCTCAGTATTTGTTTAACTGACTGACTTTTTGATATTTTTGTGTTGGCTAAAGTTCATTAACTGTGCCAGCCATTTGAATCGATTCGATTCCAAAAGTTGACGAACATCTGATGATTATTTTCGAAGAGCTTAATTGAAATCTTTAAGTGGTTTATGAGATATTTTCCTGACAGACAGAGGTGACCCCAATTGTTAATACCAAAATTTTAAACAAAGTTTTTGTGTGATTAGCACTCAGAGTATGTGTTGGGGAAAACTATCATTCACTACATGTCTAATACTGAGCTCAGGATCTATAAAATTGACTGAATTGTTGTATCTTCTATGATTAGTTGGCTGTGGTGGCTATCATAAAATGAGTTGATTTAAATTAATCAATTGTAGAGATAAATGCAAAGATTATCTTCTGCAGCTTTCATTAAAATCTGTCCAGTACACAGACACACCCACTCCCACGGACAAAAACATGATCTCCCATCTCTCATCTTTCAGGGGTTGGCGAGAAGTAAAACACCAAACAAAAGAACATTTGTTACAAGGGGCGGCACGGCGGTGAAGTGGTTGGAGCCATCATATCTCAGCCAGAAGGTCACAGATTCGCCTCCCACCTGAAGTCTTTCTGGGTAAGTTTGCATGTTCTCCTCGTGCACTTGTAGGTTTCCTCCCACAGACCAAAAACATGCATGTTGGACTAATTGGTAACTCTAATTTGTTCCTGTGTGAGTGAGAGAGTGAATGGTTGTTTGTCTCTTTAGTCTCTGTGTCCCTGTGGTGGACTTACGATCTGTCCAGGATGTCCCCTGCTTCTCAGTGACTGCTGGAGATAGACACCAGCTCCCCCGTGAACCAGACAGCAGAGATAAGTAAAAAAGAATGGATGGATTGATCCGTTACGAGCATCTTAATGAGTGTTTATATAAAAGGTGTTTTGAATGCATGTTTGCCCTGTGGGTGTGTTCTGATAGTTTGCTTGTCAGGTGGTGTTTCTTCTTTGTTTCAGTCTGAGAGGCGTGAGTCTTTTCTGGAAGCAGAGAATAAGAGACCAAACCCTTCAGCTTTAAATATCCATCCTTATCCAGGAAGTTGATGAACCCTCATCATTCATTCATAGACTCATCTGGGTCAGCCTAAATCCCCTCATCCCTCATTCACAATCTGAGGACTGTAATATTAATAGCACTCAGAACGGTTTTGGTTTTTAATGGACTTTGCTGTAGCCACAACTTCTGAACATGTCAGCCTGCAGAGAGCCAGAGAGGAGAGCTTTTCTGATTCATGGCTTCCTGTATCATAAAACACCTCTAAAATATAGAAGATCCAGCGGGTAAAGCTTCACACAATGCCAATCAAAAAATAAAAAACAAGATCAACTATAGAAAAGCAGCTGTTTTATTATAAACGGATGCTTCACAATGTGTAAGATCATCTCAGCAGTGGTACACAGTAACTCTGTAAGAGTCAAAAACACAAAGTTTGTTTTCTCAGTCATCCAGGTATATAACAACAAAAAAGGTTGAATCATGTCATCTGGACTTCGTTTTTTTTTTGTTAAGAAGAAACGTTTCGCCCCTCGTCCAAGAGGCTTCGTCAGTCTGAGGCCTAGCCATCTGGTATTACCCAGAAGCCACCCTGACTCTTGTGTTTCAAGCCTGCCTCAGATACCCCTGAGGTCTGGCCTTTTCACTAATGGTTTCAAAAACACAAAGTTTGTTTTCTCAGTCATCCAGGTATATAACAACAAAAAAGGTTGAATCATGTCATCTGGACTTCGTTTTTTTTTGTTAAGAAGAAACGTTTAGCCTCTTGGACGAGGGGCGAAACGTTTCTTCTTAACAAAAAAAAACGAAGTCCAGATGACATGATTCAACCTTTTTTGTGGTCTGTAAGAGTCAGTTTATACAACTGAGTTCAACCAACAATGCTGGGTGTCAATAATGTTTACACAGGAAATTATGAATATTTTCCTTCAGGTTCATCGGGATTCTTGGTTCATCTTATAGTCTGTTCCATGTGGACCACACTGAGCTTTCCATCATGCTCTTCAGTGTCTTACAAAACATTTGAAACTCACAAAGAATAGAAAAAGATTTTATCTATTTAAAAAGGACAGGTTCTAAGTGCCAAATGTTTTCATCTGCACTTTATTGTGACTTCTTAATAGAGTGTCAGAATTCTGAGAGTTTAAACCATATTTAAGCTTCTGACATTAGAAACCTAAAGAAGAGAAATTAGTGTTTAAAGTTCATATCTTCAAAAAAAAAAAAAAAGCTCTAAAAAAAGTTAATGGCTAATTCAAATCTCTCCTGTTTTTTTAAATAGCTTTTTGTATCATAAGTATGTATATCATAAGTTATGCTGTTTTATAAATATTTACACTACTCCTGTTTTTACATTACACTGCTTCTACAACAAACAAGATATTACTGCCAGTAGATTCCCAGGCTGCTCCAGAAATGCAACAGCTAGCTGCTGCTGCTGATTAGCACGGAAAAATAATCACAGAATTTAATTTAAAAAAAAAACATTACTATGAGGCATTTAAGACTACGTAAAGGTATCTGAAGAAAACATTTGCGCTATGAAACCATCTAAAACAGGTAAGATATTGTCTGTAATTTTTCCACAGAACCACAGTTCAAAAGATTTGCACTATTCCTTTAACTTGAGAGCATGGAAAACATTATTTACAGCAAACATCAAAGCACGCTATCTTTGAGCAAGCACATTAATATCACTAACAATGTTTTCTGGCTACTCGCAATAACAAGAAATGTTATTTCTTGTGAAACCCCAGCTCTGATTTCCTGAAGTCCTGATGTCTCCTCCAATCAGCCTCTGCAGGCTGACTCATAGGAGACATTTTCCTGGGTGAGGATGAGTGTGTAATGTGTAAATTCCTCCTAGCTTCAATGAAGCCCAACTGATCCGTGAGTAAAATTTAGATATGAGCTTCTGAAGCGTTTACCGGAGCATAAGAAGAGGAGACAACAGAAATGAGTGGAGCTTTTTCTTATGCTGCGAACTACCACAGCCAAGGTGCAACTCAAGACCGAGTGTTCACGAGCCTCAAAGATGGAAGATAGAAATGCTGAGGAGGAGGAGGCAGGTGAGGGGGACAGACAGGTGGGAACAGGAGTATTGATCAGTCTGGGTCCTTACCCGTGATGCCGCTGAGCCCATGTAGGATGGATCTGCTGACCTCCAACAGAGAGAGCTGCACACACACAGATACACACACAGAGGAGGGATGTTAGAGAAATGAACAGCACAGACAGAGCTGGCTTTCTTTATTCTTGTTTCTCACGTATTAGAATACAAACTAGGATCACAGGCTGGTATTCAGACAAACAATGACCGCTCACAAATGTGTGCGTGAACTTGTTGCTTTATTAGGAAGAACTGCCTCTCTTAGATTTACTCATCCGGTTATTCACTACTTTCTCACCCTGTTTCTAACTCTACTACCACGATTTCACCACTACTTGTCCTTTGTTTAAACTTACATTAACATGTACTTCTTTGTGTCTTCATCCTGACAAATACAAGACAGTGTTGCTGTTATTTCTTGCTCCTAACAGTCCCATCCCCTCTCGCTCTCCATATCTTTTTCTGTCACACAATAACAAATCACCAGTCACTGCCATCTCCCATCAGCAGAACCAGGCCCAGAATAACAGCCAATTGTTGTTGGTGCCACCAACTGTCGCTCATACCTACGCTCGACTGTACTCCAGCAAAGATTTAAAAGCAGCAGCAAAGGAGAACTGATGTGCAATCAGACCTCAGAGGGGAAACGTGAGGAAGTGGTTAGATCTAATAAATAAATAAAGTAAATGAAAAGCTTCCTGTGGGCCTACCACCTGCAGGAGGGGCCATATGAGTCGGGTGCATGACACCAAGGACAGTGGCCGAAGGCAGGGACCTTGACGCTCTGACCCTGGCTTACCAAAGCTTGCTCTTAGGACATGGACCGTAACCTCACTGGTGGGAAAGGAGCCTGAGCTTGTGCGTGAGGTGGAGAGGTATCGACTAGATATGGTTGGGCTCACCTCAACACACAGCATGGACTCTGGAACCAATCTCCTTGAGAGGAGCTGGACCTTATTCCACTCTGGAGTTGCCCGTGGTGAGAGGCACCGAGCTGGTGTGGGTCTACTCTTAGCCCCCTGACTTGGTGCTTGTGTGTTGTAGTTTTCCCTGGTAGATGAGAGGGTAGCTTCCCTATGCCTTCAGGCGAGGGGATGGGCTCTGACTGTTGTTTGATCTTATGTGCCAAATGGCAGTTCAGAATATCCGACCTTCTTGAAGTCCTTGGCGGGGGTGCTGGAAGGTGCTCCAGCCGGGGACTCCTTTATTCTGGTGGGGGACTTCAATGTCCATGTGGGTAAGTGTGACCTGGAGGGGCATGACTGGGAGGAACGGCCTCTCTGATCTGAACTCGAGCTGTGTTTTGTTGTTGGACTTCTGTGCTAGTTATAATATTTTTTTAAACTAAGTATTTTTTTTTTTGGTTTTAAACAAACAACAAAACAGAACACGTAGAACACCCCACCCCCATCCCTTCCCTCCCACGTGCTAGTCATAGTTTGTCCATCACAAACACCATGTTCGAACATAAGGGTGTCCATAAGTGCACTTGGCACCAGGACGCCCTAGGTCGTAGGTCAATGATTGACTTTGTAGTTGTGTCATCCGATTTGTGGCCGTTCATTTTGGACACTCGGTTGAAGAGAGGAGCTGAGTTGTCAGTTGATCACCACCTGGTAGTGAGTTGGCTCAGAAGTCAGGGAAAGATGCGGGACAGACCCGGTAGACCCAAACATGTAGTGAGGGTTTGTTGGAAATGCCTGGCAGAAGAACCAGTCAGAAAGATCTTCAACTCACACGTCTGGAAGAGCTTGAACCACATTCCAGCTGAGGCGGGGGACACTGAGTCAGAGTGGGCCATGTTCCACATCTCAATTGTTGAAGTGGCTGCCTTGAGCTGTGGCCGCAGGGTTGTCAGTGCTTCTCACAGTGGCAATCCTTGAACTTGGTGGTGGACACCTCAGGTTAGAGAGGCTGTCAAGCTGAAGAATGAGTCCTGTCGGTCCTTGTCGGCCAGTGGGACTCCGGAGGCAGCTGAGGAGTACCGGAGGGCCAAGCAGTCCACAGCCTTGGCTGTTGCTGAGGCAAAAGCTCGGATGTGGAAGGAGTGTGGTGAGGCCTTGGATAAAGACTCACGGTCCAAGGAGATTCTGGCAAACCATCAGGACGCTGAAGAGGGGAAAGCAGCTTTGGGAGTGACACAGGTGATAAGCATGAGTGTGATTGCAGCAGAGAAGTGGGCGTGGCAAAGAGCGCTGGCAGAGAGTTGAGATCATGACATGCTGCAGGAGGGAGGTTCTCGCTGCACCTGTGGGCTCCACACAGGTGCTAAATTCATCCATCCATTATCTTTTACCCACATCTTTCTTTTTGGGTCACAAGGTTCACTGGTGCCCATGTCCAGCAATTACTGTGCGAGGGACAGGGTACATCCTAGACAGGTTGCAAGTCCATCACAGGGACACATAGAGAGAAAAGCGAAAATAAACATTCATTCTTTCACTCTAATCAGTCTAACATGCATGTTTTTGGTCTGTGGGAGGAAACTGGAGTACTCAGAGAAAACCCACGCATGCACGGAGAGAACATGCAAACTCCACCCAGAAAGGCCCCTGGACCGGGAATTGAACCAGGGTAACCTGCTCGCTGAGAGGCAGCAGCTCTACCAGTTGGGCCACCATGCTGCCCAGGTGCTAAATCATTTAAAATAATTTATTTTAAATAAACGATCCATGTTGCTCATGCGGCTCATCAGCCAATTGTGTGTTATGTCCAATCGTACTTGAAAAACCGCAAAGAGCAAGTCCGCGAAAGTCAAACCGTGAAGTAACGAATATCAAACGTATAAGAACCGCTCATTCAAAACCTAAAAACTTTGTGCACTTCCTCAGTTTGCAACCCAGCTGGCTGCAGCAAAGAGCAGATGTTGAGTAAAAGCAAAAATACACAAAACCCCCAAAACATTCCTACATTTATTAAGGTTTTTAAAATGCTTTGCTTATATTTGTTAACACACAGCTACCAAACTCATCGTGAGTGAAATGTGCAAGAAAATATGGATTCCAGCTTTATACCTAATTAACTTTTCCCCCTCTTTTTGAAAAATTATCCAGTTTTGCATTTATGAATTGAAAGGGCAGTAGTACTGTAAAATATTTAATCAAATTTGGATAAAAAAATAGTCTAAACTAACCCCAGTATGACTGATAACTTACTTGTGTGCGAGCTGCGAGGCTTTGCTCCGAGGAATGCCAGGTTCACGTTGGCCTTCCTGCCGTCGATGATGGGGTTTGTGTCTTTGCACGCCTGCTCTGCCGCTGCTCGGTCCATCATGGTCACCTGTTGGCAGCACTGCTGATTAACATCTCTTGGAAAACTCTTAAAGCCAAAACATCACAACAACACGAAAGCTGATGTCTGTATCTCACCGAAGTGCACAAATGCTGATGGATTTGCAAGGAAGTTTTCAGTTTTTGTTGCAGGAGTCTGGAACTAGTCATGGACGCTTATCAGTTTAGTTTTTGTAAATCTGAGCACTGTATTTATCTGTGAACTACTGCCTGTTAATTTATTCTTTGTTAATGTATGAATATGAAACTTGTATGTTTACTGTTAAGAGAACTTTCAGTCAAGGGGTATGAATGTTTTTATATTGTGCAGAGCAGGGGCGCCCAACATGTCGATCTCAATCTACCGGTCGATCACATAGGCAATTTCAGTAGATCACATGGCGAAATAGATGTCAGACTTTTTTTTATTTTTATTTCTTTTAATTTTTCTTTTAAACAGACGTCAGCCTATCAATACATCTTCACCATGCAATTCGTCACTTGATTGATATACAGGTTAGCCAATCTGAGACCTGACACATAGGTCACCATGCATGAGCAAACAACAGCACCTATGATTGACGTACAGGGCAGCCACCCAGAGACCGGATCTTTTCTGACGCATAGGTTACCACGTATGCACATTCAACCATGCTAAAAACACACAAGTTGACTTGTAATAGTCTCCAGTTTATTTCTTCTAATCTAAACTCAATAAAGTGTGTAAAATGAGTTGGGGAGCTGGACCAAGTAAGAAGCAAAAAACCTACCATTTCCATACGGAATGTGGGGAGGGTTTATTTTTTTCACAATGTCATGAAGTGCGTTTGCCAATATGCAAGTTATCGGAGGGGCATTTTGGGACTATATTCATAAACACGGTACTGACTTCCTTCCGAAAAGCGAGCTGAGAAAGAAAATGGTGAAGGAACTAAAATCCCAGTAGAGCTGGGCAATATCTCAATATTTTAAAAATAAAGATTTTTTTTTTTTTGCGATAAAAGATGAGACTATATCAATATAAAACAATATAGAGTTATACTTGAAAATCCTCCTGATGTCTTCTTTCTCCCACACGGCCACCTCCTTCTGCCTCCATGAATACAAACCCAGCCCCTCAGCCACGTTCTCCCCGCTCCCTGTTTCTCCAGGAGGTGGGCGGGAGACGTTTAGCACAACAAGTAAACATGGGAGACAAGAAGAGCAGCTGAGCTGCTGAACGAAAAGAAAAACAATTGTGTTTTTTTTTGGAGATGGTTTGGATCTAAATTGTCAGATGAGGAGCAGAAAAATAATTTCTGTAGACAATGCTGAAAACAAGTCCCGACAAAAGGTCGGAACTACAAATCTTTTCCACTATTTAAAACAGCACTATAAGTGGAGTATGAAGCGTGTGTGAACTGCAGCTGCAGGTCCAACAGACCTCAGCCTCCTTCCCTGAAACAAACCACGGGTCAAAACTCATTCAGCCGTGCTGTGCCTTATGAGAGGAACAGTGAGAGGTGGTGCGACATTAATAAAACAGCAGCTTATCATATTGCTAAAGACACGTTAGTGGTAAACAAGACGGCTAACACTTTAGCCGTCTTGTTCCACGACTGAGACTGGGACCTTTTTTTTAAACAAACTTTTGGGTTTTGTCATTTAAATCAATCAATCAGAATTGATCAACAGAGGATGTCATCTCCTCTGTGGTCCACACTGCTCTCACCCACCTGGAGCAAGACTCCTACGTCCGTATGCTCTTTGTCGACTTCAGGTCTGCCTTCAACACCATGATCCCCCAAAAACTGATGGACAAACTATTCACACTAGGGCTAAGCCCCTCCATTTGTAACTGGGTACTAGACTTCTTAACAAAAAGACCACAGTCAATGAGGATCCACAACTTCTCCTCCTCCACCATAACCCTCAGCACTGGCTCCCCGCAGGGCTGTATGCTGAGCCCTCTCCTGTTCACTCTGCTCACTCACGTATGACTGTGCACCTACCCATCCAGGCTGTCACATTGTAAAGTTTGCAGATGATAAAGTGGTGGTGGGATGCATCACAAACAACGATGAGTCCAGCTACAGGCAGGAGGTGGAACACCTGGAGAGCTGGTGCAAAGAAAATAACCTTCACATCAATGTGAAGAAGACGAAGGAGATGGTCGTGGACTTCAGAAGGAACAAACACACCTATACCCCCCCCCCCACCACCACTCACCCCACCCTGTATATAAGAGGATTTGAGGTGGAAGTGGTCTGGGGCAACAACACCACCAGCCTGATCAAGAAAGTTCATCAGAGACTCTACTTCCTCAGGTGGCTGAGACGAGCTGGTCTGGGAAGCTCAGTCCTCACCTCCTTCTACAGGTGTGCAGTGGAGAGCATCCTGTGCTCCAGCATCAATGTGTGTCATGGAGGCTGCACAGCTGCAGAAAGAAAAGCTTTGCAGAGAGTGGTGAAGGCTGCACAGAAGACTGTTGAGAGTCAGTCTCCCGAACATCACAGACATCTACACCTCCAGATGCAGGAAGAGGGCCACCTGCATCATGAAGGACCACACTCACCCAGCACACACACTTTTTGCCCCGCTCCCCTCAGGAAGGAGGTTGAGGAGCATTAAGTGTAGAACCACTAGACTGAGGAACAGCTTCTACCCTGAGGCTGTTAGACTCATGAATCTCTAACTAGAATAATCACTGTGAAAAAAATCACATCATGTTGCTGTTGATCTGTTTCATGCTGCTGCTGATCTGTTTCATGCTGCTGCTGATCTGTTTCATGTTGATGTGTTCATTCGTAATCATCTGCTCACACAGACTCATGTTCGTGCTGCTGTTCGACATGTTTTTATGCTATTGGTGTTTAGTGTATATTTAGTTGATGTTTTTCTTAGTTCATATCTTAGATGTTATTACTGTTTTTCTTTTACATTTTATTGTTGGATGTAACTGGGACCCTGTGTATATATTGTCGTTCCATCACATGTACCACATGTCATGATTTATGTTGCGTCCACAGTGTGCTGGGACTTATTCATTCATTCAACTTTTATTTGTTCAAGTTAATTCTCATAGAGTCATGAGGACTCATTTACAAGAGAGACCTGTTTTAGATAGACAACTTATAAAGTACAAACAAAATAAACTATAATAAGATGTAATTAAAATTAAAGTAGCGTTATAAAACAATAAATCAAGGTGCCATATAAAACATGGTAAAATACTAAAAGCAAGAACGTAAAACATAAAAATTAGGGGCGTAACGGTATAAGTGGGTGTATTGAACCGTTTCGGTACGGCATGTTTGGTTCGGTCCACGTGCGTACCGTTTCGGTTATTTTTTCACTCATTAGATTTTATTAACGAGAGATTATGTGCCGCAGAACTAAAGTTCCTAAGCGTGTTTCAGCACGGTGCTATTATCTTGCAGCACGCGTAGCATTAGCAGCCTAGCATCTCGTTGAGTTCTCCTGTTTGGGAACATTACAGCTTTCTTGTTAAAAGACAAATGAACAAATCCAAAGCCGTGTGTCGACGTCGCTTCAACGAGATTGGATCTGCAGCAGCAACACGTCTAACTTGTTAACGCTCTTGAAACGACACCACCCGAATGTGAAAGTTGCTTGGTACAAAGACCGATAACAGCAGCATTTAAACAACCTTCATCAGGTAATTCAGATCGGTCCAAACCAATAACACAAGCTGTAGGAGTTTTTAAAGCTCTGGATCTACGTCTGAATATGATTCAAGTTCTTGAGCCCCGCTGCCTATACAACATCCCATCACGTCAACACTTCAGCCAAAAAGTTGTAGCAGCACTTTATGAAAAAGCTAAAACTGATATTGTCAACAAGCCCTGGACCAGATTTAAAACACTGCCCTGATGATGATGAGCGAGAGAGAATATTCAACCACCTCATAACAGAAATGATGACCGTGCAAGAAGAGGTATTTGTTATTGCATTATTGTGATCTAATTAACTTTTTAATTTAAAAGTATAATATTATCAACTCTTTTTTTATATCTGTGTTGTTTGCAGTCTGAGAATGCCAATACAGTAGCAGCTGAGTCTTCTTCATCCACCAGATCACCTCCAGCTAAGAAGTCTATAATGACTGAACTTGTTTACTTGACATATTTCAAAATAAACATTTTGTACGTCTTTATTTTGGCCGTTTTTGTTCCGAAAACTAATCGAACCAAGCTCTCCTTGAAACTGAACCGAACCGAAATGTGATTTTAGCGTACCGTTACACCCCTAATAAAAATAATACTTAATATGTTTATAAATAAGTATATGTTTTGTATTTTTATAGTAGGTACGTAGATCACTTGGACTTGGTCATTTTAAAAGTAGCTCGCATGCTGAAAAAGTGTGAGCACCCCTGAGGTAGCGTTAGGGCAGCCAACTTGAGACCAGAAAGTCGCAGTTCGACTCCCAGACATTCCCACATGTTGTGGTGCCTCTGAGCAAGACACTTAATCCCTAAGTGCTCCCCAAGTGCCTACATAGCTGCCCACTGCTCCACCTGGGTGTACTGTACATGTGATGGGTTACAGGTCTCTCTTGTAAATGAGTCCTTGTGGGTCATCGAGACCAACATGTATAAATAAAGGTTGAACGAAAAAACAAATGCTAAGAACTAATTTTGCCATTTTATAGGAACATACAATGATGGCAATCTCAGACTTTTCTCCCTTCCCTAAAAACCAAACCCTGTTTGTGGACTGACGACAAAGTTAAAATTAAAAGTTGCAGTGTCATCATCAGTATTCTCTCAGTAACAAATCTGTTGTTTAATCTCGTGGCTGGAGTAGTTGCGCAGACCAGATGTCATCATTTCATCACATTACTGAGCTGCAAAGCTGCCTGACCTGTTCACACGTCGACTGTTTCGGGTCTGTCACTATCTCGCTTTGCAGCACCAAAAAAAAAAAAAGCATCAGGGGGGGGTTGGCTCAACCCCCCCCCCCCCCCCCTTTCATTCAACCTTTATTTATACAGGTTAATCCCACTGAACCTCAGGGACTCATTTACAAGAGAGACCTGAATTTTAACAAAGAGTGATGACAACAATGACAACCACAATAATAGACAATAAAGGATGCATACAAATTGAGTGGTTTTTTTTTTATAGCAAATGAAAATAAAATGGTATTTAAAAGAATAATTAAAAGGAAAAGTAGTGAAAAGACAGGTAGATTGTAAGGTGGTGTAAAATACTAAAAACAGGAACATGTCTGCATTGGTTTTAGCCAGGAACTTAACAGATGTTTACTTGCTGCCTTGATCCATTTAGAAATCACACTGAGGTGGTCAGAAGGAGTCTCAATCCTGAACTGAGGTGTCTTGTGTCTTAAGGTGTTTTATCAAAATGTTGTTGGCACAAAACTTAAACTGCAACTAAAATGTGTATTTTCTTGCAGTGTCCAACTGGACTCAGTCACAGCTTAATGAGAAGATAAAGCATCAGACAAAAGGATCCGAGGAGCTTGTTTCATTTAAACAGTTCCATTTACTGTTTTTGGTAGAATGAGAGTGGATCTACCACCTGAGAAGAACCTGATTTAAAGCTGTGAAAGCTCCAAGTGGGCGGTAAAAGTATGAGACACCTGAAGGGGGTGAGTTGGGAACTGGGACTCTGGAAGAGCAGCTACACAGTTTCCAGAAGAAAGAACAGCTGCGACAGCTTTGCAACCAGTAATCTGAACACTGGAACGACAACGTGCATGCTGATTTTGGATGTTAATGCAAACAGATGCTGGATGACCTGCAGGACTATGAAATGTGCCCTCTGTCCCAAGGCAGCGTTACAGCACTTCAACACATCCCGGCCGCCTGCGCTGCGCAGACACAAAGACTAAAATCTCATAAGAAGGATCTGGTATCTAGTCTCGTCTCCTTCAGTCTCAAACCCACCCTGGCAGTGGGGGAAGTGCTGTGAGGGAGGAAGTCAGACGGCAGCCTTATCTTGCACAGCCAACTGACATGTCACACCTCGGAGACTAGACCCCCCCCAGCCCCCCCTTCACATTTACACACAGCAGAAAGAGACAGCAGCTTATTAACAGTGTTTAAGATCAGCACAGCTTTTCTCTTTGCAGATCCTTTAGGATGCACATCACCCGCCACCTTTCATGCCCAAGAATTAGACAAAGATCATCTCATGTTGAGAAAAGTAAAGTAGCTGATTTATCAGTAGTGAAATGTTAAAAATGCATTTTCTGTTATTGCTTGGTCAGAGTCAGAGTCAGAGTTTCTTTATTGTCATTCGCACCTCATGTGGTACATGTGGTGGAGCGAAATTATGTACACAGGGTCCCAGTTACATCCAACAATAAAATGTATAAGAAAAACAGTAATAACATCTAAGATATGAACTAAGAAAAACATCAACTAAATATACACTAAGCACTCATAACATAAAACATTGAACATCACCACAAACATGAACATGAGTCTGTGAGCAGATGAGCACGCATGAACACATCAACATTGAAACAGATCAGCAGCAACATGAAACAGATCAGCAGCAACATGATATGGTTTTTCACAGTGATTATTCTAGTTAGAGATTCATGAGTCTAACAGCCTCAGGGTAGAAGCTGTTCCTCAGTCTAGTGGTTCTACACTTAATGCTCCTTAACCTCCTTCCTGAGGGGAGTGGGGCAAAAAGTGTGTGTGCTGGGTGGGTGGGGTCCTTCATGATGCAGGTGGCCCTCTTCCTGCATCTGGAGGTGTAGATGTCTGTGATGGTGGGGAGACTGACTCCAACAGATTTCTGTGCAGCCTTCACCACTCTCTGCAAAGCTTTTCTTTCTGCAGCTGTGCAGCCTCCATGCCACACATTGATGCTCGAGCACAGGATGCTCTCCACTGCACACCTGTAGAAGGAGGTGAGGACTGAGCTTCCCAGACCAGCTCGCCTCAGCCGTCTGAGGAAGTAGAGTCTCTGATGAGCTTTCTTGATCAGGCTGGTGGTGTTGTTGCTCCAGCTGAGGTTGTCATTCATGTGTACACCCAAGTACTTGTAGCTGGAGACCACTTCCACCACAGATCCTCTTATGTTCAGGGGGGGTGTAGGTGTTTTTGTTCCTTCTGAAGTCCACAATCATCTCCTTTGTCTTCTTCACATTGATGTGAAGGTTATTCTCTCTGCACCAGCTCTCCAGGTGTTCCACCTCCTGCCTGTAGCTGGACTCATCATTGTTTGTGATGCATCCCACCACCGCTGTATCATCTGCAAACTTTACAATGTGACAGCCTGGATGGGTAGCTGCACAATCATATGTGAGCAGAGTAAACAGGAGGGGGCTCAACACACATCCCTGAGGAGAGCCAGTGCTGAGGGTTATGGTGGAGGAGGAGAGGTTGTGGATCCTCACTAACTGTGGTCTGTTTGTTAAAAAGTCTAGTACCCAGTTGCAGATGGAGAGGCTTAGTCCTAGTGTGGATAGTTTGTCCATCAGGGTTTGGGGGATCATGGTGTTGAAGGCGGATGTGAAGTCCACAAAGAGCATACGGACGTAAGAGTTTTTCTGCTCCAGGTGGTTGAGTGCAGTGTGGACCACAGAGGAGATTGCATCCTCTGTTGATCGGTTCTCACGGTATGCGTACTGATGAGGGTCCTCGTTGATGTTGATGGTTGTTTTGATGTGAGTCATGATCAGTTTTTCGAAGCATTTAGCGACTATCGGGGTGAGGGCCACTGGCCGATAGTCATTCAGACCAGTCACTGTAGAGCTTTTTGGGACTGGGATGATGGTGGCAGTCTTCAGGCAGGTGGGAACTGTCTCCAGGGTAAGTGAGGTGTTAAAGATGTCTGCCAGCACCTCACAGAGCTGATCAGCACATTCCTTCAACACTTTTCCGGGGATGTTGTCTGGGCCAGTTGCTTTGTGCGGATTAATCCTCCTGAAGGTACTCCTTACTTCTGCTGAGGTCACGCTGAGATGCTCTTCATCCGGTGGCGAGGTGAGTCTGGTGCTGGGTGGTCTGTTCGGGTCTTCAAAGCGTGCATAGAACGTGTTGAGGGCATCAGGCAGAGATGGGTCTTTGGGACATTGTTCACTCCTTCCTTTATAATCTGTTATGCACTTAATGCCCCTCCACATGCTCCGAGGGTCTTGTGAGATGAATTGACCCTCGATCCTCTTTGCATATGTGGAGTACATATGGAGTACGCGTTGTAAATCTACCACATCAAATTTTAGCTCAAATTTGTAAAACTCACCTCTCAACAAACACAACAAATGCTCTCTACAGGGAGCATTTGTTGTGTTTGTTGTTGTTGTTTGTTTGTAGAGGTTAGCGGTGGCGGCCATCTTGATTTGGGCTGACCTTAAAAGTTGATCAGTTATGTGCATCCAGTGACCTGACAGTTTAATTACAATACACGCAGTGGTTCATGAGATGTTTTGCTGACAAACAGATGACTTTATCAATACAGTAAAAGCCCTCATGTGATCTTAGTCAGTATTAATTGGAGACGACTCTCAGGTACTACCACATCTCAGAGCAATTTCTGTGTTGTCAGGTTGATTAGCCGTGGCAGCCATCTTGAACAGGGCTGACTCTAAAAGTTAATCAGCTCCAGACTTGACGAGTTTCATTAAAATCCGTCCACAGTTTCATGGGATATTTTGCTAACAGACAAAATTGAACGCACACACTATCCGCTTTAATAAAAGGCTGACTCACGAAGCCGTATCCCCGGGACTTCCCGGTGTGCCTGTCGGTGATCACCACCGCCTCGTCGATGTCCCCGAAGCTCTGGAAGTGTTTGCGGAGTGACTCGTCGTCGGTGTGGTACGGCAGGCCGCCGACGAACAGCTTGGTGTAAGTTGTGTCTCTCTCCGCCGGCGTGGGGGGCTTCATTTCCAACGACACCCCCACCAGCTGACCCCAAAACAGCGGGGAACTCATACGGCTCGGAGTGACAAAAACAAAGCGACACAAAAATATGTAAAATAATAATAAGTTACAAGAAGCGCACTACAGCGTCCATGTTGGAGGAGCAGCCTCCTCCTCCGCCGAGCTGCTGCACGTGAGGCCGACCTGACAGGTGGTTCTGGTCCCGGTGGGGAGCTGCTGAGAGTCCTCCGTGGACTCTTCTTCTGGTCCAATAGCGGAGCCGTGCGTCTTCCCCCCACTCGGAGCATCCCGCCTTCAGCTCCACCCTGCCCCTGCTGCACAAAGGGAAGCCCCCCCGCGTCGTGGCCCCCCGAACTAATCCGAAACAAGCCGAGGAAACCCGAACGACTGGGCTGACAAAGGACAGTGTTCACCATGAGGAGTAAAACACAAAGAGAAGCAGCCATCTTATAAAATACCAGTTATATTTAGGTGTATAAATGTTAGTTATTACACGAGGTTACTGTTGAAGAAACACGTTATGAACAAATAATATCTTACCTGTTGCATGCTCATTAATACAGGTAGAAAAAATTAACAAAATAAAGTCAGGTCCTCTGGAAGGATTCTTCTTGTTGAAACATTTCATCCATCCATCCATCCATCCATCCATCCATCCATCCATCCATCCATCCATCCATCCATCCATCCATCCATCATCTTTACCCGCTTCTTTCTTTGAGGTCACTGGTGCCCATGTCCAGCCATCGCTGTACAAGAGGTGGGGGACACCACCCTGGACAAGTCTCCAGTCCATCATAGGGACCCATAGAGACAATGGTAAATGGTAAATGGACTGTACTTATAGCGCCTTTCTATCTCATTTCAAGATACTCAAAGCGCTTTACACTACAATCTGTGCCTCATTTACCCATTCATACAGCTCTATACTAGATCTATACAAAGCTAATTGAACAAATCATTCTAATGAGACTAATCAGAGCTTTATCACATTCATACACTGATGGGACACACATCAGAGGCTATGAGGGGTTCAGTGTCTTGCCCAGGGACACTTCGACATGTGACTGCTGGTGGATTCGAACCCCCAACTCTCGCATTGGAGGACGACTGCTCTAACAACTCAGCCACAGCCGCCCAGACAAACAACCATTCACTCTCTCACTCACACCTAGGGACAATTTAGAGTCACCAATCAGCCTAACATACCATACCATTTTATTTATAGAGCACTTAAAACAGCGATAAGGCCAACCAAAGTGCTGTACAGACAAAAAAACAGGCAACACACAAAATGAGGTAACTCAGAATATAGACATAAAAATGATGGAGATAATAAATATGACGACTAACCAGTGTGGAGCATACAGGTTCAAAACACAGATCATCTGGTGTTGAAAGCTACTGAATAGTAGTGAGTTTTTAAACAGGACTTGAAAACCGAGAGGGAGGGGGCCTGTCTGACAAGCAGAGGTAACTCATTCCAGAGTCTTGGTCCTGCTACAGAGAAGGTCCTGTCACCTCTGCGCTTAAGACGAGTTCCTGGAACTGTGAGGAGCAACTGGTCCGCTGACCTCATGGAACGTGCTGGGACATACGGCTGTAGCAAATCAGAGAGATTGTGGGGGGAACTGTTCAGCGATTTGTAGACATACAGGAGTATTTTGAACTGGATTCGAAGGTGAACAAGTAGCCAGTGCAGTGAGGCCAAAACTGGTGTAATGTGCTCTCTTTTGCATGTACTGGTTAAAAATCAGGCTGCGGCATTTTGGACCAGTTGTAGTCGTGCAATGGAGGTCTGACTGATACCAAACAGGATTGAATTGCAGTAATCAAGCCTAGATGTAATGAATGCATGTATTACTGTCTCCAGGTTCTTTTTGGACAATATGGGCTTCAGTTTAGAGCCGCCTCAGTTGGAAGAAGCATGATTTAACAATAATGTTTACATGATGGTTAAATTTCAGGGAAGGGTCCATTATCACTCCCAGATTAGTGACTCTTTGTTTTTCTGACAGGGTTAGAGCAGAGAGGTCGATGCAGTGGTTTGCGATTGTGTCAGTGGGAGGGAACAGCGTGATTTCAGACTTCAAACATGCATGTTTTTGGTCTGTGGGAGGAAACCCACGCATGATTACCTGATTGGTAACTTGAAATTGTCTCTAGGTGTGAGTGAGAGTGTGAATGGTTGTTTGTCTCGTCTGTCTCTATGTGTCCCTGTGATGGACTGAGACCTGTCCACGGTGTCCCCCACCTCTTGCACAGTGACTGCTGGACATGGGCACCAGGGACCTCCATGACCCAAAAAGGAAGAAGCGGGTAAAGAGAATGAATGGATGGATGGATTTCTCTCCACATGTTGATACCCCCCCCCCCACACCACACACACACACACACACACACACACACACACTCACCTCCCTTTGCCTTTAGTTTGTTGCTCTGAAAGACTTTGTTACAGCCGTTAGGACTGTTCCAGAGTAAACCGGAGCTGAAGATTCAAGGACCGAGTAACAAAAATAATCACATTTGCAAAAAACTCGACAGAGGCTTTGTAATGTTTAAATATAAATTTGTATTTACATTAATATTAACACCAAGCAACAAGATAAGAAAAAAGCAACATCTTGTTTTTTTTTACATCTTCTGATCATGACCACGTTTCCCCAGATGTGTTGGAGTCTGAGCAAAGTTACCTTATTTGAAAGAAAACATACGTTTTTTGGGGGGGCGCCAAAATTTCTGTTGATTCATATTGTTGGCCGGGGGGGGGGGGGGGGGGTGTCTGAAAACCAAATCGAGGCTATAGTTATGACATAAATGGCATCATCCACGAATAAAACCTAACAGGAACATTCTCTTGTGTACGAACAGCAGCACAAAGATCAAGTGGCCGTCAAAGCTACAAGAAGAAAAGAAGAAGACAGAACCTGACACCTCTCTGCTCTAGTTCATACAGATGTGGAGACAATATCTGGAGTTCAGCTCTGCTCCATGTATAATACAGCTTATGTGTGACAGTCAAAGCAGACGAGAACGTGCACAATCTACTGAACTGCTTCCAAGCACTGCAGAGTGACAAACGGAAATCTTTGGATTGAGCACATGTTCAAAAGTGGAGTTATTTCAAACGCAAGCTTCACAGGAAACAATAAAATAAAACTCAAACAAACAGAAAAACCCCTCTCCTTTAAAATTAAACTGCTGTGAATGAACGACGCAGGAACAAACCACAAAGACTGCTCTTCAAGGACTGAACAACGAAACCATTAAACACTCAAAAACCTCCAGAACGAGCGGAAGAAAGAGGACAAGTTCAGAAAAGCTCACAGCTCACGTGCTGGTAGGACGTCTGGACTCCTAGAGGAATAACACAATCATGTGTCAACTCTGTCTGTATATATTTTGTATTTTCATTTTGAATTTTTTTGTAAAAGGAAGAAAAAAAAACATTTAAAAAGAGGATAATATAACCCACTGGCACCTGTTGTACTCCAAACTACTTCTTAAGAAAATAAGAGGATTATGATTTGAAGATTACAAATAAAAAAAGTGCATTCTGACGAGGGGGGAAAGGGGCAGTATGAAGGAAAATCTACACAAACTGCTACAAAAAGGAGATCACTTCCCGACCGATGGTTAAAAGTATTGAAAATAAAAGCTGATCTATGACAGAATAAGAAAATTACACTTTTAAATATCAAGCCTTACAATCTGTGCAAAAAACAGTATGCGACCTAGAAAAGCAAATATATATTTATATATAGTACATTTGAAGCGTATTTACAATTTCTATTAACAGACAGAAGGACAAACAGGTCTAATACTGCAGTACCGTCACATCTTCAGCTCTGTCCTCAGAGGAAACAGGAGGAAGCTTATTGCTCAGCATTTACAGCTCAGCATTAAAACCCAACATTTTCTTCTTGCTCTATGAATTTCATCTTAGAAGTGCTTTGTTTCTGCACAGTGTGCGTGTGGTCGTCTGCAGAGGGGCCCGGCGGACCACTTTGGATCGATGCAGACGTAAAATATGGTTGGAGCAAACCAGGAATTTGGATTACCACAGGAAATTGTGCACGGTAACCAAAGTATGTAGATTTTGATTTAAAAATGTCATCTTGGACGCTAAAACGATCGCCTGATAAATCTGGAGCAACATTAAAGGGATAGTCTGGTCATTTTTGAAGTGATGTTCCAAATGACCAGACTATCCCCGTAAAAGTCAACTACGTTCTTTATTTCATTATAAACGAACACGATGGATCAAATCTGAGCTTCCTGCTTTTTCCGCTGCGGAACAGAGACCGACAAAGTCACACGAATCTCTTCTTGGAGAGGGAAAACTTGAAGAACACACAAACAAAAACAAACCGTAAATGTCTGCTGCTATGCGTCAATTCTCATGTAAAGGCCTCTAGATTGCCACAATCCTTTTGATGTTGGCTTTTCCTTAAAGTGCAACCAGCCAACAAGTGATCCAGTCATGGTCAGAGGCATCCCGGAGGACGAAACGATGTGCTGTTACTTCACAACATTCATATGAGCGTCACAATCGACTGGCCGGCTCTTCAGCTGGAGCCATGTTTACGGAGATCCTCCAGGAGCGACGGAGGGATGGAGGATGGAAAACCCACGAAGTTCAGAATCCACATCTGTTACGTCTGAATACAGCTTCATGGTACATTCGACGAAGAAGAGGACGTTTAAACACCAGGTGATCCAACTTTACCGTTTGCTCCAACAAAAGGTGTGCGTGTGCACAGACACACACGCTGCTCCAGAAGAGAGAAATATTAAAGTAGCGTCCATGAGAGGTATCATCTGTGTGTGTAAAATAACGACAGTTTGTTGGATTTTCTGTTTTAGTTTTCTTCAAGCTGCCAGACGTTACAGGCCGAGGGAGTCCAGAGGGAGCGCCGCTCCCTCGTCTGGTGGGAATGTAGCTCTGCACACAAACACAACACGCCTGCTTCACTCCACCCGCTCCAGCTCTGCAGCCGCCTCCCATCTCTGGGTGGAGATCACAGTGAGACGAACGTCGCTCAGCAGTATTTCTACATTAGGAGGAGGGGATGAAAAAGAAAATAACAGAGTGTGAGAAAACTCTTTGCACATTAAAAACTTGCCTTTTTTTAATTAATGCAAATCACCTGCCTCTTTGCATGCAAAAGATTTAAAAGAATCTTCCAGGATCTGTTAAGTGTTCAGACGATGTGTTGTAGGGAACTATCAGCTACTACCACACCAACGCTGGTCTCTCAATACAATTGAAAAATTTTCTCGACGAGGAGACAGGGTGCAGGAGAACCCTCATGCCCCGAAGGGACACATGCAGCTGGATACATCATGGATTCCTGTGGTGTATGGAAGATGATGTGTCTGTCTGTATTGTCCGTTGAGGACGCTGAAGACGCAAACATAATTGGATTTGCATGTATGATAACAGGGTTTCTGCTTTTTGGAATTGGCGGGTACCTGGGATATTGACAAATTAGGAAGACGTCTGAAGCAGTTTTGGCAATGGTGAGGCTGCCTGTTTTATATGAAGGTTTACACCAGTGGTGTAGTATATGTAATATGCGGGTATACGGAGTATACCCATTAGAAAAGCTTGGAAATTACAGTATTCCCACTTTAAAGTACCCAATGATATGTGACATATCACTGGGCATGTGTTATTGTCAACACATCTGGAACATTTTATAGACACATTGAGTTGGTCCAACCTGTTTTTTGCACATTTAATACTTCTGTACTTACTACTTAATACTTGAACATGTTTAGCTTTGATACTGTTTTATAAATTCTATAACATGCTTTTAATACAAAATCAACTGTTGTACAAAGTTTGTTGTACATTTATTCAAATATAAGCATCAGAGAAATTTTGAAATGTTCAGTATGCTTAAAAATCAAAATAAATCAACATTTACATTGTACTAATGGGTGTACCTCAGTTTCTAAGCACAGTATACCCAGTAAAAAAATGTATACTACACCACTGGTTTGCACTGTGCTTTGAGCGCTCAGACTCAAATGCTTTGCGAGCGGAACTATAAGCTGGACATGATTTCTGAGAATTGTAGGCCACTTGCGGCTCCTAGAACTCGCTGGCATGAAGGAACCAACCTTGGAGAAGGCCAACAAGCATGACTAGTGGAATGTCCACAAATCTGGCTGTTTGGATTCACCATTGAGTGTACCAGCAGAAACTATGAAGGCAGATGGAAAATCAGTAGGGTTGGCCTGTCCCAAAACAATTGTTGTTTATCTGAAACTGGCTTCCTCCCGTTTGGCCTTGGATAGACCAACTTATCTCAAATTGCTCCTGGAGGAAGCTCTGCTCT